GCCGTGGCTTCCCTCCGCGTATATTTTTTATGATCTTCTTTCATAGATTCGACATACAGAGGTGTGTGTAACATGTGTGTGGGTTATGGAGCGTAACGAGAGCATGGAAAGGGAAAATGCACCACCCGGTCTGGGAATGTACATATTTCTAAGAATATTCCATTGCCTGCGGGCTTCTCCCCGGTCCCTCCCGGAGGTGACCAGGGTCCTGGATTGTGTGTTCGTTATGCATCCTCCTGCTGAACACAACAATCCCAAATACATCTGAACATGCATGTCATCCTTTTGCTTTAAAACATTTGCTACCTTTGTTGTCCTTGCTTTTTAAAAAAATATATTTTTTAATTGATTTCAGAGAGGAAGGGAGAGGGAGAGAGAGAAACATCAATGATGAGAGAGAATCATGGATCGGCTGCCTCCTGCACACCCCACACTGGGGATTGAGCCTGCAACCCAGGCATGTGCCCTTGGCTGGAATTGAACCTGGGGCCCTTCAGTCCGCAGATCAATGCTCTATCCACTGAGCCAAACCAGCTAGGGCTGTTGTCCTTGCTTTTAAAAAAAATTGTTGTTTTTTTTTATTGGTTTCAGAGAGGAAGAGAGAGAGAAACATCCATGATGAGAGAGAATCATGGATCAGCTGCCTCCTGCACGCCCCCTACTGGGGATCCAGCCCGCCACTCGGGGCACGTGCCCTGACCGGGAATCTAACTGTGACCTCCTGGTTCATAGGTTGATGCTCAACCACTGAGCCACACTGGCCGGCCGGGCTGTTGTCCTTGCTTTTAAGAGCTTTATCAAAATGGTGTCATTTGGGCAGTTTTTCAGAACTTGCTTTTTACTTATTTATTTTTAAGTTGTTTTCTTTTTTCTTTTTCTTATCATTGTGTTTCAAAGATCTGCTATGTATGTGTGGCTGTAGTTTGTTCAGTTTTGCCTGAATAGCGTTGCCTTCTGGGAATAGGATACAATGGATTGTGTTTCCACTAATACTTGTCGATCGTCGGTCCTCATAGTTTCCCTTCTTATGGATGACATTTGAGGGTGGGAGGGGTCGGGTCCACTTAGCAGAATGACTTCACATAGAGCTGCTTTCCGGCAAACAGTCGGTAACAAATGAAGATGAGGTGCCAGGTGCCTGCTGCCAAAGCAAGGAAATATCTAGAAAAACGCCACAGCACGGATGGCTGGGGAGAATCCTGTAGGAACAGCACATTGCGATGCATTGTCCATGGGGTGGTGAAGCAGAGACTCCACTCCCTGTCTTGCTGCAGGATTTCATCCCTGAGGTTGAAAAACTAAGTTTGACTTCGGTAGGGTAGAGTGTAATCATTGGGGGGGAAAAATCGCCTCCTTTGTCCATCTGATCGAGTTAAAGCTGAAAGACAAACTCCATTTTGAGGTCCCCCCCCCCGTAAACATTAAGCTATATAATGAGTGTCTAACTTCACTGTCTACAATAGCTTCATCTTCCCGATTTCCTAGTCCTTTAGGAAAACACAGACATTAAGAAATATATGCAAAAGGGAAAGGTATTTTGGTTAAACAAACCAACACCCCCCTCCCATGGAAATAACTAAGCATTTCTCCTTATTTATGTATCTCATGTCCTTCGGGACCACTGAATGGGAGTTTTTATTACTAATACTGAAAATACATTGTGCAGCATGTAAAGATCTTTATATCAGCATCCGTCTTTGAAAAGTGAGCTCTGAACTTCTGCCTGAATTTACAAGGACGTGCTTAAAAATCCTCAACACCAGATGAGGCGAGAATATAATAATATCGATTTTTCCTTTTCATTTAAGTGCCGGATGGCTCGGTACGCATCCAGACCAGCCACACTCACGCGGGGAGCCCTCTGAAGAAATATGTAAAAATCAGTCGACTCGAATGTTAATCATTCCCACGTCGTCCCCCCACTTTTTTTTTTAAAAAGATACATGCTAAAAATGCAAGTTTGTTTTTTAAAGATTCCAATAGACTTGTTTCTTTGTGAATGTCCAGATCATCGAAAACGGGAACATTTTATTGGGAAAAAAAATTAAGCTGAATTTCAGTAGAGCAAAAACAATCCCATATGCATAACTCTCTTAAGAAAAAGAAGAAGAAAAAAAGATGGGCTTTTCCTTCTATGCAACTGACTCACCGCCTTGAGCTAAACATTTCCAAGGAGAAAAGTGGTCTA